GCAAAATTGGTATGACTGAATATTTTTCATTCAGGTGACTGATAGTATCAGTGAAACTGCAATGCAGATAAATAAAGGAGCCTTCTGTCAAGAATAAACACCATTAATCATGAAGCCAGCGACTATGAAGACTGGGGTTTTAGACAGTTAGAGAGGAAGATGGAGAAAGTGGCCTTTGTCTCTCCGCCCTGCTTATCAGTGACAGCAGGCACATGTGGGTAATCTGATGGTGATCAGATGTGATTATGAAACACTCATCAATTCTTAATGGAATTTACAGCTTCACTTCACATTGTTTTAGTCTATATGATATTCATATGTGCATATGATCAAATCTTGCCTGTGTTATATTCCAAAAATTTATAATTACCTGCTACTGTGTCATATGTGCAGTAGAATTAGTCCAGCCTGAGACCAAATATCCACTATTAAATGAGCTGTTGACACAGCAAAGTCAAATCCCACCATAAATACACACTGATGAAGTCATACGGCTGCTATGAAAGCCACACTAGACACCTTTGTCTTTGTTTTATTTGGCAGTATGTGTGTGTGTGTGTGTGTCTGTATGCTAGTTACAATACTCAACCTCGTCCCATCTGGAAGAAGGTGCTGAGATAAGACTGTGCTCTTTATGCTAAGCAATGCGCCGCTCCGCTATGCCCAGACCAGGTGCTCTGACAACAGTTTATGTAAATAACAAAACAACATAGCACACATAAAAAAGCCTCTCTGCCAAAGGCAGGGGACAGCAAAAGGGAAGGACGTACAGTAGGAGATGATGTACAGAAACACGGTGAAATCAGCAACAATCTCGGATGCCTACAGGAAATAAATCTGAAGGTAACGAGGTGATTCACTCCTTTCAGTATCATAAAACGACAGCTCACACACCCCTTAAGTCCATTAACACACAGAAACACACCCCCAACCTCCACACTGACAGAACACAGGCCACGGTTTGATTCAATCACATGGAGAAGTTTTTTTTTTTTAATCAAACAACTTTTTTTGCATTTTTCTAAATCCATGTGACAGACCTTCCATATGTGAGAAGAGAGAGTACAGAGTATTTCATCTAATTCGTGTCTGGACTATTTTTGGTTTTACTTCACTTAAATGTTAAGTTCAGAAAATTAGTTTAGATATTTCTCATAAATGCACAACCAAATTGAAAAAGCAACATGTCAAAGCTGAAGGTGTTCTTGGTACAACAATGAAAACTATTAACTCCGTCCATTTGGATGAGTCTTTCCTAAATCCACACAGTAACTGCACAAAAGGTTGAGTCACTTATCTCAAAAGAATGTTTTCTTGTTTTAATGGTGCCATTCACAGCGCAAGGGTCTGGGACTCCAGAGTAAATTCTGATGCTGATAATTGACTAGTGACGAATACCTCTGTTTGTTCTGAGCGGTCTCCGGGTGACAGGGAGCCGGCACAGAGCTGCATGAGAGGGCTGTTTTGTTTTGCTATGTACCATGGTCAGGCAATAAAGCTGGAATGAAAGGAGCGGTCTCTTCTTTTGGCCCCGGCCTCCCCTTAAACTCCCATTAAGCCAGTCCCGCACAATGGCGGTGGCAGAGGGGACCAGAGCTCCCACAGAGAACCTACTCTTCACCAATCAGTGTGTTTATTTAAACAAGGAGCATCTTCTCTGAAGCACGAAGGGCTTGCTCTCTCTCTTTGTAGAGGCTGGAGGTCAGATGTTTCCAGACCAGAAGGCCACTCAGAGAAAAAGTTTCAGCACAAAAAATCTGTTTTGCTAATCTTGGACCAGCACAGGTCATAAAGGCTTTGATTAATCTGTAGGTTACAGAAATTCAGAAGGAGCTTCTTGTTAGCTGGCTTCAATTGCAGCTCAATTTGGGGTTGCTAAAACTCTTGCAAAGTGCCATATGTGAATATAGAAGTTCCTCAGTAAAGCAGAGGCCCCTACCCTCTCTAAGGCTGTAATATTGAATGGCACATTGGTACCTTCCCCACAAGAACTCATAAACTAAACGATTAGCCTCTGTCTGTAATTGCGCTCTCCCTTGCCTAATAGGGGAGGTGAGGTAAAGAGAGAAAAAACAAAGGACAGTTAATTTGTGATTTCCTCTGCTCATTTGAAGGCAAATTAAGTGTCAAACAGCTAATACAGAGCATATTTCATTTTATGAGCTTTTAATTTAATTCCACCGCCTCATATTGCTGGAACCCGTTAGCTGCGCTGCTAGCGCTCGCTCCTTGTTCGAAAATGGGGGCCATAAATAAACATATTTCAATTAGGCCCTTCACAGTAATAGGATATGATTCTGTTCATTTGCCACGTATGGATGGAGGATGTGTCATTGTGGCAGAGAGGAAACAAGCTGCTGGGCATTTGCAGTGTTTTTCTCCGGCCATGGATGCCCAGTGGTGACTGGCTTGTGTGCGTGGCGGGGAATGCTGGCTGGATTGATGGAACTGCCGCAGGGCCAACCCAACTGTAATTACAGGCCGTAATGAGAGGCTGCATGGGGAAGTACTGCAATAATAGTGCCTGTGTACTTAGGCATATCCTTGAGAGAGCTAATAACGATTAATTCTGTTCACCGAGGAAAACTTGTCTTAAAACAATTCAATATTTCTCCATAAGCCGCCTCCTGCCCTCCACTTCCCTGAAGCGACAACTGTACGTCGACTGCCTCTATTTGGTTGGGCTGGCTACATGTAACATTACCAAGCAGAATGCATCACTTTTAAAGTCTGCAGAGACATTTACTTTTTGGCTGCGACTCTAAGGTCATAAAGTTTGGCCACAGCTAAAACTTGCACAAAGCCGAACCTGGGAGGGTTATTAACTTCAATTTACCATCAGGTGGTTGGAGCCAGCTGTAATATTGCAACTGATGGGAGCTTCTGTTCACTGGGGAATTCAGTCCTGCTTTTTTAATCAAGCAGGCAATATTCTTGCTTCCCAATGCAAAGACTGAGAAGCAGAGATCACTCTGCACATAAGTTCATGCATAACTTGTATGACAGCAAGACTTGATTTAAATAAGCCTAGCTGCTAAATAGCTGTCTTATAACAATGACGAATCGTTTCCCTCGGTGTAGCATGTCATATTAAACAGCTTTATGCTTAATGGCTTAGATAAATAGGCCTTAAGTAGCGTGGCAGAGCATGGCCGTGTCTCCAGTGACAGCAAACCGAGCGCACAGATAACTCCTGTCCGGACAGAGTGACTGAAGACACCGGCACTGCATTAACTTCTCCCCTTAATTCAATTCTCTGGCTCCGTTCTGTCCCTCCACCCCCTCCTCATTTCTCTCCTCTCCCTCTCTAACCTGTGCTCCAGATCGTACCAAAGCGCTCCTGACGGATAACAAGCCAGGCTGTTTGTTCAAGCCAGTGTTGCCGGCGCAGGTTTACCCCATTATCTCTGCATAAGCTAAATGCTAAATTATATTTGCCATTTTGTTTGCAGTGACACAGGGCATCAATCACATCCCTTTTTTATTTCCTCACCTCTCTTCCCCCACCCCTGTTTTTCCACTGATGCAGCCCCTGAGCAAGAGATGAGGGGTTGAGAGGTGGGGTGGGCCGGAGGTGGGGAGGCGGAGGGGAGACATAAAAAATTCATTACGCTTAGTGGCACATCAGCTAGGGAGAGATATGACTCCTGAGGAGGAAAAGGGGGAGTTGATAATGATGAAGAATATCAAACATAATGCGGCCCAAGTAGCTGCCCCATCCAATTTGTCCTCGTCGCACGGTGATCGCTTCCTTCGTGTCTGCAGCTAGGAAACAAGTGCAGCAAGGACGATGAAGTGTCTCCTTGGAGTACTCGCCGTTTGGACACAAAGAATACAAATGATAGTGAAAGGAAAAACGCAGTGAAAGACGGTGAGCGAAAGTGAGGAGGAAAAAAACAGCAATTTGTGCATGAGTGTATGCTAGTGGGAAGGCTAAGGGTTCTCCGCGGACCTGGCCAACACCATCAGAAGCAGACAAGAGAAACAACTAATAAAACTTCCCCTGCTTATAAATACTTTTACTTATAAGGCACCACACCATGGTTTTACCTTCTTTCATATCTGTTAGCCAGTAAATGCTTAAGATTGAATGAGACAGGATGGTTAGTTGTATACAATTCCTCTGTCAGGAGCCCGTCAGTGTGTGTTCAGAGACAGCTAGATATCAGCAGAGACATTGCTTCCTTCTTCTGACAGGCCTTGATCATTGCTCTTATGAGAACCGCACGCTCCCAGGCTCCCCTCTCCCCGCTCCCATTTCCATGTCTCTGGCACATGTTCATTTGTGTGTCTCTGACATGCAGATCATGGTGCACTGTGGCCTTTGATCCTGAAAGGCAAAGAGAGGGCACCCAACACCTATGAGGAGGATGCTCCACGCCCACAGGTGGAAGGAAGGGAGTTTAGGGATTTGATTGTAGCTGTTAATACCAAGGAGTATGCCAATGATGCATGTGATGCTGCTGAATCAAATGTGCACTCAGTTAAGAACTTTTCACTTTTGGACCAAGTAGTTCTAAGGACTAAGTTCTAGGAACTACCCCACTGGTAAAAGTAACGTAACACTAAAAGAACCCTGACTGTTAGCAATTAGCCAATAAGCTCACAACAGTTAACACATTTGCTTTATTTGTTGCTAACATGAATTATATAATGAGCCACTGTTGGCAAACTGCAGCTCCTCATGCCGCTGGTGATGGCTAATGATTGCTATTGTTTACACAGCTACCAGTTTTTTAAAAATGACAGTCAGGGGTGCTGCAGTCAACATACACGAAAGTAACTCAGAGTTCCTATTGTGCTTGGAGAGTAGCTACCCTGAAGTAGGAGCTAAGAAACATCCCTTAAAAAGGGGTTCTAAGAACTATTACTGTTCTCAGTTCCTGTGGTGCCGGCACACAAAAAGAGTGTACTTGGTCCAACAGTTCTATGAACTATGAAGAAGTTGCTCTGGTGTGAAAGTACCTTGTGTGTGTGTGTGTCCAGGTTAAAAGACTTACACATGAAGAGGGGGCACAGGGGAGGTGTCATAGAAATAACGTCCCTGGGCATGTCTGTCGTCAACTGGCACAGGATGATGGAAGGTAGGGAAGAACTGCGGTGCAGCTGTACAGAAGAAAAGAAAGAAAATGAGACATGATTTGGAAGAGCACTGGTTCCTTTACAGCATACTGTCATGTGAATGCATTCCCTCCTCAGCTAATCTAAACAGCAGCTTTAATGAAAGGCAGTGGTTGATGGCTATCTTTCAACAGACCCACCCGAAGGAGACCTCATTAAACGCACTGAGCTAAAAGCTGCATGGCTCCAAAATGTTCACTGAGGAAGTCTTTGTAAATGTCTCAAGGCTGACAGAACTCAAAACAAGCACTGACAAATAACCAAGAAAAGAAGCTGAATCACACATTTCTCAAAGCCTAATATTGTTTGGTACAAAGTTCAAGATAGAACAAAACATCCATTTCCATTTTGGTACTTTGTCACAACTGCCAGAGAGAATCAAGAGACTTGTTTTGTTCTCTCCAGATTAAACATTAAAACTTTCAAAACTTTCTTTCTTTTTACCCAAAAAAACTGAAACTGTTGTGCTGCCACCAGGCTGCATACAGTATAAATACATTCATCTCCATACTGTCATCTTAAAAACTAAAGTTGGAATTTTGTGTTTCAACTCTGCAACCACTGTCGAACAAGTTGCAACAAACCACAAGTGGGACATTTGCTGCCTACCTGAGAACAGAGGTTTGAAACTGAAATGGGTTAAAACTTGTACAGAAACAATTATTAAGCTTAATAATTAAACCACACACAAAGCAACGGGTGCACACAGCAACACACTGATCAGTTCTTCATTCACATACTGTATGAACACATCTCATTGCCAGAACACATATTATTGCCTGCCACAGAAATCGCTGACACGTTGCGCATCATATCATATCACCACCCTGAGGTAAAGTATGTGTCAACATCTGCGTACCTTCACACAGTGAGTCTCTGAGACTGGCAGCTATGTGTTTTTTGCTGGTAAACACTTGAAAGTGCATACCAAGATGGCAGACAGCCAAACCCTGTGGTGCCCGACAGCTCTACAAGTGTTGCTCCATACCCAACACAGATGCATCACTGGACAGCAGCTGTTGATCCCCCAGCACCTCTCAGGTCTGCTTACCTCAACCCCCACTCCTTCATTTGGATGATCACTGCCAGGTTAGCCCAGCGCAGCTACAATTACAAAGAGATCCATTTGGTTTTGTTTGTAATCCTACAGAATTTGAATACAAGTCTGAAAGAGGTCCTCCAGGGATTAGTACTGCACTTCAATAAAGTTGGGGAACTTGCAAAAGACAAAAACTAATTAAAATTGGAAGCAGAAGAGAACAAGTGACAATGAGACACGTTAAAAGATCAAGTTATAAAAACCCTGGATCCTACACTTTCTTTAATGGAATTTAATGTTTTGAATTTGGTTTGTTTACACTCCACAGCTCCCTGTCAATTCAACTTTCTTTCAAACTCACCTCCCCCAGTTTGTGTAACAGGACTCCAGTTAATAATGTGTAGTCTCTGCGTTCATACCAAAATACTCGAGTCTTTGGACTTAGTTTAGCTCTCTCCTGAGCCACACACACAATTATATAGCTGTTTTCACAGGCTGCACTACTCCCCATGAGTAGTAAACTGTGTGCCTTTTAAGCCCAAAAAGCACATGCAACGCACATCAAGACAGCGCTGACCCACACACCTGCAGCAAACAGGCAGACATCTCTACACCAGTTAATGTCCTGTTTTCCTCAGATGACAGCAAATCACCCTAAAATACCACATTAGAACAAATCAATGTGCTCAGTGTGAAAACTTAGGCAAACTTCTAGAAACCATCCGAGAGTTTTCATCCTGTTTTCACAATAGCAGATAAGCGGTAAAAGCCTCCTCCATGCGGCTCTGGCAAGTATCTGACCGCTCCGTCTCTGCCTGTTTGATAGTTTCCTCCTGATGACTCAGTTTTGGCTTGGCTCACCTCGGCTGATTCCACAGCTGCTGGGGGAGTGAGGGATGAGGGGATGCTGGGACGGAGGGATGAGCTGCGTTAGACAAGGGCAGAATTTGGTTTGTTTACACTCCACAGCTCCACTTGCAGGCTGTCGGCCCTTGGCTGTCAGGGTCGGAAATGAACCTTCAGGTTTACTGTGCTCTGTATACTGTGTTCCAGCTTGATCTTACTGATCCCTGCCTACACTGCAGGAACTATACACCAGCTTCTGTCCTGTTGGGTAATGGGGGATGACTTCACCCCCCCGACTCCTGCAACACACACTTTCACTCCCACATCCGCCCCTCATTGAATTACCCAGATCGCCCTATGTTTATGTCTCTGGAGCTCCTCACTCAGCACAGCCCTGTGCCTCAACATGTCTCTGTTTTCTTGATCGTTCATCACTATTCCCTCCTTCCTCACGATGTGGCCCGTATGGCAAACCGTTCCACCGAGGTTTATTTAAATCCAGCTCAGAGGTTTACTTTACCGTGACCCTATCTAAACAAAACCTGCCACCTCTTTTATACCAGCACAACTCTCCATTAGCAAGGCAAACAGATGTGTGTCACAGAACGGAATGTATACAGTCGCAGAGAAGAGAGGATGAAAGAGAGAGGTGGAGAGACTCCATCCTGCAATCCATCTCTAGTGTTTCCTGTAGGACCTCCTTACTGTGAACTCTGGGACTAAATTGTCTTTGCTCGCTTGGATATTCAAAAGTATTCTTGTCTCCTAATACAAAATACAGCTGGAAGGCACATAGAAAGCCAACACACACATCAGAGTTTTACCGTCCTGTTTCGGCCAACCGCTGCAGCAGCTCCAGCATTCCTAAGGGAAGTGTCATCACAACGGCTTTGTCCAGGTTCCATAAGTCATCTTAGCTAATCAAGGAATCCAAAAACTCTACATGTCAGAGTTTGCAAACTTTTTTGACATGCAGCTTTTGAAATATAAAACATCACCATAGCCTCTCACCTAGTTATCAGCCCTGCAGAACTCTTCTCATAAATTTTAATGACTCCAGTCCAACTTGTCAGAGCGGCAGTGTCCACATTAGGTTGAATTTTTTTTATTCTTTTAGGATGAAAGTCATTAAGCCATAATTACAAATGGGTCTTAATGAAAGGGCAATTAGAAACTAACTTTGACCACGCTCATTAATTCTAATTCAACACAAACACACCATGCTCAGGACCTTCCTCCTCGTTATGGTAATTGCCTTGTCTTTTAGTGGACACTTGAATCATTTCAAAAGAAGGGGGAGGACAAGGGGAGGATAAAGTCTACAGCACATCATTCGCAATATCCTCATTGGTTAATAATGAAAGTTTTACCACAAAGGATTCAAAATGTGATGTGATACTTTAAGAGAATTTGAGCTGTCGGTCACAATTCTGATTTGGGTTTGGATAAAACACAAACAATTTCTCTTCTTTTTCTGTTGTTGTCAACTCAGCATTGTGAGTTTATTGTCTTGACAGCTAAACCTGGGCTCCTCCTCTGCTCTGGTGAGGTTCACTGCCTCTGCTCTAACAGAGTGTCACCCATAGCCGACAAAGAAACACTCTTCCATAAACACTGTGCTTCTCATCGATGCACCGCTGCAAGAGCACAAAGAGCCAGTGACAGATTGTCATAAGCGACTAAGGCGGAGTAGGAAAAGGGCTACTGGGACCTGCTCCAGAGGTTTGTGAATTGCTAATGTGGAACATATGAAGCCTGTGCTGGGGCTATGACTGCCAGATTTCATTATGCCACCTCTCTCCATGCTCATGATCTCACTGCTCAGGCACGCTTGTCTGCAGCGGGGCCCGCAGTTACACACACAGCAACACTTCGCAGAGCGTGTGAATGATGCTCCAGACTTTGGCTGTTTGTAAGTGCATGTGTGTGCAACTTGTATCACACCTTTTGTGAAGTGAATACAAGCACGTGTACATGACTTTATTGTGTGAAAAAAGGACAACACAGCTCTGGGTACAGTTCTGTATGGGGTTTTATTTTTTTACTTGCTCCTGAACATTTCACTATGTAATATCTAAAACAATGGTCCCCATCCTTTTTACATTACAGCCACTTAAAATTACCCAGAGAGCTTCTAACTCGGAGTCTATTTCCTTTCTCAGTTTGTTTAGAGGCTTGGGGATGTGAATTTATCCCGATTTCCACAAAAACTTGAATATTAGATAAAGTTAATATAATTTTGTTTAGCAGAACTATGTTTTTTTCTCCTGGTAATCATACTGCAACTCCTCAGATTTTACTTGTTATGGAAGAGTCTCAACTCCCCAAGGTGGGAACTACTGACTTAGCGTAGCTATATGTTTAAAAGCACCGATATATAAGGACTAGGAATATAACGATACTTGTAATTTGGCGAGATCGCAATAGAAAAATGTCTCGATAATGTCATGGGACTATGATGTATCTTCATATGGTTATTTCGCTAGTACAACTGTGTTCAGGTTGCAGAATTTGAAAAACTTACATAGCTAATGCTCCATCATCCACTTTTAGGGCTGTTGCGTGGCAGCGTTTCAGTTTTCCCCTTTCAAGAAATGACAGGGGCAAAAAGGCAACTGCCAGACGAAAGCAATAGTATCTCCAGTTAGGACTGAGACAGTCCTGGATTCATCTCGCAGAAACAGGAACATGACTGTGCGCAACACTTTAACGGAGATGGGCAAACAAACCAGACTAAGTAACCACCCTTAAAGTCTTTTCTCTTGAAAAGGTAGACCACGCTGTTTGAGAAACACCTGCAGTGGCGGACAGATCTCACGTTTTATCATGGCAATATCTTACCATGCGTTTTTGGTATTGTTACATCCCCATTGAGAGCATCAACAATTACATGTAACTGTGGGTTTTGTTGTCAGTAGCTCATAATGAAAGCAACGGAGTTTTCTGCTGGACCATCGGTCAATCATCGTAAACAAAACAAAACAAAACAAAACAAAACAAAAAACTAACACACATTATTATTGTAAGGCACACACAATTTATTACTAGAGGATGCATTTTTCCAAAAATCTCCATGATTTTTTTGGAAGCTGGCTCTCCT